CTAATATGTATACATGTCAAGACTATTTTTTCTATAAAGTGTGGTATGAAATGCACAAAGAGATTAGAATATAAATAAATGTACAAGATTACAACAAGAGGGAAAGCGATTGGACACAAAGCTCTGTACAACCTCCCCACAACCTGTCAGGAGCTGAGCAAAATTTGGACAATTTCAGAGAAATGCATTTCCGGATTTATATATGGTAAATTGGTCACTTTTAAGCTGTTTTGAGAAAAATGAAGGTAAAGTTTTTGCCCTTTGTTTAGTTTTTTTTTTTTTAAAAAAAGAAAAGGAGAGTTCTCTATAACCAAACAAATATACGCAGCAATAAAACCAAACTTCTCCTATAGGTAGGGCAATGCCCACTTTTGGTGTAGGTCAAGATTTCTGGAAACCCCCGAAATCTGGGTTAGCCCGCTTGTCCTTAAAACTAAAACCGACCAATTGATACCTCTGATTTACATTGAATTTCTAGTGGGCAAATGATAAAGTCACAAAAGACAAGAATGTAGAACAAACACCTCTCCGTCCTCTGACATCTGCAATCAATTTTCTATGTGCAGTCCTCTTAAAGATTTCTTGCTTTCCAAAAGAAAAAAAAAGATGTCTGAGCAAAACAAATTCAGACAGCACAATTTGTTAATCATGGTGCTAGAATGGGGAAACTTATGAGACTTTAAGTTACGGCAAATATTAAGTGTAGACAGATGGGTGGAAGACAGCAGCAGCAGAAATTCAATTCAAGAGTACATGGGACTAGCAAAGAGAGGCTGAGGTTAGAGAGAGAGTATTTTATGAACCACCACCGAGGTACTGTGCCATCAGATGAACAGAGCACTGAAAGTTTTGGTGTACTTCTGGATACTGTCATGATTGTTCGGAAGTTCAGCATCTACAAAATGTGTCATGACATAGTGGAATCAGGCGCTTGTCAATTTTTGGGCATATTGAGTTACTGGTTTCATCGTAAAGCTTGTTCATTTGTCTTGCTTTCCTTGAAAAAATTACCCATCTATCTTCAATAGAAGTGGACCATCTATCTTCAAAAGAAGAGATATTTTGGATTGAAGGAAGTGGAGATGACCTGGTTTCAGAGGTAAAATTAGTGAGAAAATGGCCGCCAAGACTTGGTAACTTCCAAAGCTGGAGAGTCCATGGAAACTGTTCGTTTACTTTTTTGTGACTTTAATCAACGTCTTTCGGTAAAAGTCCTCACAGGAATTGGTTTCTAAATGGACATAAAAGGTGTTGAGACAAAGAAAATGTTTTAAATTGAGAAAAATTGTCAAGCGGGAAGAAAAATAGTGTTTTCTTCAATTTTCTTATTTTGACGAGCGCCTGATTTCACCACAATGCCTCACATATAATGACTAGCCTCTAAGTCAATTTCGACGGAGCACTACACAATGGGTGTTGTGTATTCAAGCTATGCTGTACATAGCAGTTTCATAGCATAGCAACTGCAAAATTTGACTCGTTAAAAGGTGAGCATAATATGACAAAGTTTCAAGGAATTGTACATTCAACTACAGGCACTAAAATAGAAAATGCAAGCCTTCTACCAACATGCACACAAGTGTAAAAATGCCGCATACAAAAGCGCTTAGTTTTTCACAAATTAATCCCAATTGTAAAAAGAACCAAGTCATTGGTCAGAAGCTTACATATAATATACTGTCATCATAATGATCAAATATCCCTGATAAGGATTTCAATTCTACATGACAGTGCTCATGAATGTTTTGAAGTGAACACGGCTGGGAAGGGAGGGGAAGGGGGGAGAAGCTGAAACAGCTGCCAGGGTCACTTTAGCGATTCTCAACCTTTTCTTTACCTCATCAACACCACTATGAATGTGAATTCTGAGATTTCCCCCAAGTATTGACACTCTGAACAGAAAGAACAAAATCCATCATCACATCAGCATTCGAATACACCCTCCCTCATGAATATTCAAGCTATTTTTCTCTCTGCATCTAGGTCAAATGTCACTTTTAAATGCCCTAATCTTTCACAATATTTGATTTGGTATCACAAGCCGTCAACAATCTCTCAAGTACTCAAAAGACTCCTAACAGACCAAGCACGATTTCTCAAACACTTTCAAAGTTGCAAGTCAACGTTCGTCTCTCATGCTGGATATGCTGATGCAAACTGACGATGCTAAACATGGGAGTAACTAAGAATTACTTGAAATTCCCCTTGGTTTCTTCAGGCCTAAAACAAAAGTACAATCATAAAGTATTATGTCATGAACACATGACTGCCCCATGTCCGTTCTGAAAGTGTGAGAGTGCCATAACATTTTAGCAAAACTTCTTACACTAAGGCATAGGTCAAATCATCAACATTCTTTTAGTTTTAGCAAGAGTTTTTACCGCACTCGCAACACAATAAGATCATATAAGTGCCAAAGAATAGGAGGTGTTACAAGAGAGTAACATACACAAAAAAGGAGGAGAGATAAGAACGATAGATGTGTTGATAGGAAAGAAGGAGCAAACCACACCAGATGTACCCACCAACCACCCACATCAACATTCAAAATAAAAGTCTGACAGTATGAATGAATATGAGCACATATCTTTACTTACAATAAATGTTAAAGATGTACTTTTCAAAACAATAAATCATGTGCTATGGTGACAAGTTGTCACTTGTAAATTTATGAGTGCATTACGTCGTACAACATGCCTTTTGAAACAATCAACATTTCACAAGGTGGGGAAACAGTCATCTTTTCTTAAGAACTATACTGACGGTGGACACGTCAACCACAAACACAAAGTCCACTCTCATGCAGAAATCAATAGATCCAGTACCAGCAAAATATATGATTATTTTTCTTCCACAGAAAAGCATACAGACAAAGTCAAAGGCAAACATTGATCACATGTTGACAGAGAGGGGAAAACGAAGGGGGTGAGAGGAAGAGAGGAAGGTGGAAGAGAAGAAGGTGGAAGAGAAGAAGGGGGAGAGAGGAACATGTGAGAGAGAGAGAGAGAGAGAGA